GCTGATCAGTTTCAGCAGCAGCTGACTTGGGGACGCTTGGGGTTCTTAAGTTGATTCTGTATGTAAGTCGGAACTGGCGGTCAGTTTCAGCAGCGGCTGAATCCGGACGCCAGTTCCGACTTACATACAGATTCAACTTAAGAACAAACCTACAGTCCCTATCTTGTACATAACCCGGGGACTGCCTGTACTCCAACTGAGGCCTAATCAGTGTAGAATAGGGCAAAAGAATGACTTCTCATGTCTTACTTACAACACTCCTCTTAATACATCCAAGAATGATGTTTGCTTTTTTGTAACAGTTTCACACTACTGACTCATATTTAGTTTGTGGTTCACTATGACCCCTAGATCCCTTTCTGCAGTATTCTTTCCGATGTATTCATTTCCCATTTTGTATATATAAGACTGTTCCTTCCTACGTGGATAACTTTGCATTCGTCCTTATTGAATTTCATCCTATTTCCCTTAGACCATTTCTCCAGTTCGCCCAGATCATTGTGAATTATAATCTTATTCTCCAAAGCACCTGAACCCTGCTAGTTTGGTGTCGTCTGCAAATGTAAGAGTACTCTTAATGACATTCTCTAAATCACTGATGAAGATATTATATTTGTTTATCTAGTTATAATACAAGTAAAAGGGGAAGCAGACCTATAGTGCCAATGGCAGTAAAGCTGCTTTGATATTATGGGTAAAAGGATAAAAGCCTGCTCACCAGGAGTTAAAGCAGAATGCAGGGTGTGCTATCTGCAGTTATTGCAAAGCAACAGACATTTTGTTGAAGGATAAAGAGGAGAACAAAAATGACTTGCCCAGCATCTATGTTCTAAAAGACAATACAGGCAAAGACAATTAGCAGTTATAGGCACCTTTATATAGAGTTCTTATTACTGTCAAATGCTAGTCTATTCAGATACATATCAGACAAATACCAGTTAGGAAAAAAAGGGAGCTACCATACTATTAAATGCAGATTAATCATTTGAGATGCACGCAAGAAGCCATAACAACTTACAGAAGAAAAACAATCTTGCAGAGAAACAGCTGCAAGTCGCTTTTCTTTATCAGTTCAAATTACTTGACAATCCAGTTTTTGATTCAAGGTAGTTGTAGTACAGCAGCGTGTACACAATATGGTACACAGTCATAAGCAAATATAAAGGAAGGAATAATGTTAGTTAAAAGACTACTGACATTGAACAAATATTGAGCTCTCAGGAACTACATCTGGGTTAAAGTATTGAAATCATTTCACTTAAGGAATGAAATTAATATTGAACTGGAAAACTGAGCCCATCAATCAGTAGACTAAAAAACCAATTCTACCTTCAGATTGCTTTAAATGGATTAATACAAATACTGAATTTTTCTGAAAGCATTCATAAGGACGAATGTAAAGAAGAAATTCTTGTGTTCCAGTTCTCCACATACCGTCATGTCCTTTCCATGCAGTCTTCGTGTTTCTTGTACCACTATACTCTCCAAAATTTTGTAATACAAAATTTCTGCCAGTTTTAGTCTGTTAACAGCAAAATCTGCAATGGAAACCAAACATTGCTGAAAGCTTGTATTCCAAGTCAGCAGTTGGGAAGTGGGAATAGATGAATAAACAGTATTGATTGAGCTAACCAATATTTTATTTTCCTTAATAGAAACAACACGTGTTGTAAATCAATAGGAAATACCTCTTAAAGTCTTTAGTAGTGTAATTAACATACATCAGACTCTAGAAATTGAAACTTTAGAAATGCTTTTGTGTAAGGTCTCCCATTTAGTAAATGTCTTCTGAATTTCATATATGCCGTACAGTAACACACATGCAGCAAAGTTCATTTAATTAAGTAATTTTTTCCTATTTCTTATACTGTTTTTGTGTGTACTATTTCCTTTTAATTGTATCTCTTGAAATAAATTGTTAGATTATTCAAAGTTTATAATCTGTTAAGTGTTTCAATATAATTTCTTTCAAAGTCTTATTCTGAACTATAACTTTGCATAGTTTCATTCAACTCTGTACAATGTTGTGTTTGGTAGTTACTGACCTGTTGCAAAGAAGAGATGCTATCAGTTTCAAACCAATAAGTAGAGGATCAATATTTTTAGTTACTGTTGCCTTTACTATGTCACCCCTTATTTATTAAACTTTTTAAAAAAAATACTCTTTAGTTTGATAGCTGATTTCCTCAATGCAATATTCTTATGCTATAAATGTCTCAACAGTTACACTGAATACACCTTCACATTCATGAAGTTGGGGTTGATGTATGGATAAAATGTCCTAAAACACACACTATATGGACATTTATCTCTTCAAAGCTTTAGAAAAGAGCAATAAAAATAATTAGGGATATGGAACAGTTTCCGTGTGAGAGAACATTAAAAAGACTGGGACTTTTCAGCTTGGGAAAGAGACAACTAAGGGAGGGGATAGGATTGAGGTCTATAAAATCGTGATTAGTGTTGGAGAAAGTACTATTTACTTCTTGTAACACAAGAACTAGGGGCCACCAAATGAAATTAATAAGATACAGGTTTGGACACAGACTGGCTAACCTAGTGAGGAGGGCTTTAAACTAGGTTTGACAGGGGCAGGTAACCAAAGCCCACAAGTAAGTGAAGAACATGGAAACCTGAGAGACAGGTTGGAAATGGGAGGGAGTATGGGCTACAATAGCAGAGAAAAAAGAGGGGCAAGGCAGAACTGAGGGGCAAGATCAAATCAGTATCTTAGATGCCTATATACAAATGCAAGAAGTATGGGTAATAAGCTGGAATAACTTGAAGTGCTAATAAACAAACACAACTATGACATCGTTGGTATCACAGAGACCTTGGGGGATAATACAGGCAGCCCCCGACTTGCAACACAACTGGTTCCTGGGGAAGCATCACAAGTCGGGGGCGTCATAACTTGAACCCTCATTTCCAACAGCCGTTGTGCACCATCATAAATATGGGCCGAGGATGTAACTTGGGTGTTTTCAGCCCCTTCAGCACTTACAAAAATGGTTGTAAGTGCGGAGGTTGCAACTCGGGGGTTTCCTGTACACACAGTTGGAATACTGGTATAGAAGGGTACAGCTTACTGAGGAAGGACAGGTGGGGAAAAAAGGGAGGAGGTGTTTCCTTCTATATTAAAAATGAACACACTTGGACTGAGGTGGAGATGGATGTGTTGAGAGCCTCTGGATTAGGCTAAAAGGGATAAAAAAGAAGGGTGATGTCATGCTAGGGGTCTACTACAGGCCACCTATCCAGGTGGAAGAGGTGGATGAGGTTTTTAAACAAATAACAAAATCATCCAAAGCGCAGGATTTGGTGGTGATGGGGGACTTCAACTATCCAGACATATGTTGGGAAACTAACAAAGCAGGGCACAGACTATCCAATAAATTCTTGGACTGCACTGGAGACAACTTTTTTATTTCAGAAGGGGGGGGGATTTGATTTTAACAAATAGGGAGGAACGGGTTGAGAATTTGAAAGTGGAAGGCAGCTTGGGTGAAAGTGATCGTGAATTCATAGAGTTCATGATTCCAAGGAATGGTAGAAGGGAGAACAGCAAAACAGAGACAATGGACTTCAGGAAGGCAGATTTTGGGTAAGCTCAGAGAGCTGGTAGGTAAGGTCTCACCATGGGAAGCAAGACTAAGGGCAAAAATTACTGAAGAGCGTTGGCAGTTTTTCAAAGGGACATTATTAAGGGCCACAAAGCAATCTATTCCACTGTGTAGGAAAGATAGAAAGTCTGGCAAGAGACCCCATTGGCTTAACCAGGAGATCTTGTGGAACTCTTTGCCAGAGAATGTTGTGACGGCCAAGACGATAACAGTTAAAAAAAGAGCAAGGATGAGCAGGGATGGTGTCCATAGTCTCTGTTTGCCAGAAGCTGAAAATGAGTGACAGGGGATGATTCCCTGTTCTGTTCAGTCCCTCTGAGGCACCTGGCACTGTCCACGGTCAGGAGACAGGAAACTAGGCTAGATGGACCTTTGGCCATTCTTATGTTTAAACTTTGATCAGCCTGGTCCAATCCGTAAACAGCTGGAGTAATATTAATACATTTCTATGCAGCAAGTTGCCCCTCTATTGAAAATTCAGTTTTCACCTACACCAATTATTCATTTTACCTAATAAAGTAAAACTCCAATTGTCCAGCATCTAGTGGTCCGGCACTCCTGATAGTCTGGCACCAACTGGAACCCGGAAGTGCTCCAGCCAGCCGGACAATTGGAGCTGCTCTGCCCGTGGCTTCCCCAAGTCCGCCGCTGGTCAGTTTCAGCAGCGGTGGACTTGGGGAAGCCCTGGGGCAGGGCACCCCAGCTGCTCTGCCCCCGGCTTCCCCAAGTCCACTGCTGCAGAACTGACCAGCGGAGAATTGGGAAGCCGGGGGCAGAGCAGCTGGGGTGCTGCCAGGGTGGTCCCA